AGTTCGAGTTCATGGAGAGGAGAAATAGGAAATTCGAGGCATTACGAGCAAATTTCAAAGTATAACGTGCAGTCGCGTCGGGTCGGTTGGGCAAATGGGGGAAATCAGTGGAGCATAATTTCAATATTAAGAATGACTAAATTTCCCAGTTTACAGCTCGACATCGTAACGAGACAAGTTCCCGTGAACAATATCCTCACCTGACGTCTTGATTTCATTTATTTCTTCTTAAATTTTCTGTATTTTTTCCGTACAGGAAAGAGGAATGTTGGAAAATGGTTAAACTCAATGAGTAAAATTGAACTCTAGAATGACGTGAAATGACGTCATCGAAACACCTCAGGGCGCTGATCCCCATAGAGTCAACGGAAAGTATGGGAATCCTATCTGTCGAACTATAAGCCAGTGTTACTCAGAACGATGATCCGTGGTCAAAACGTACCTAGTAACTCCCATCTCAGGAATCGATCCTCGTCGAGGTCTTCTCCCTCACTCTCGCGAGGTTCATCGTGCATGAGCATTTTATTCGGTAACACCTCCATATCGACGCTTTCAACAGCTGAATCCAGCACCATGATCGTCACATGAATTAATTCTTCGAAATCTTTCATCATTCTTATGATCAAATGTCAAATATGAGAACACAGTGAAGATCTCTATTTACATTTATGTTCGTGCCGGAGCGTGTCTAGAAGCTCAGTTATTGTTTGCTGTTACCCCGGATTTCGTGGAACTCTCACGTGTCAGAGAAATTTGACAGCACCAAAGAAAAGCTCACGAGTGCATGCAGAATCCTGCTAGAAATAAAAAATGCTCCCACACTTGGGGCTGTCAGGGCTTAGTGGATTATCGAGGATCGACTAACGAAAATACCGCGCCTTCAAATTTCTCGACTTAACTTCGTTTAATTTTCCTCCACTGCGTGAAGGTACCTTTGAGGTAAAGGAAGAACTTCGCGCAATGGGTGGAAGTTGACTAACTTCTTCCTAAAAGCCATTTATGCATTTTTTTTAACATTGGGTCGACAGAATCTCTATGCTTCCTGTCGTACTGCCGAGTCGATGTTAAAAACATGCATTGTTGCCTTTTTATGAAGAAGGTCGACGACTCTTCGTCGCGTCGACATCTTCCGTCGTCTCCAAGTCGTCTTCCAGCAGTGGGGGAAAGCCAGGAAGTGAATTGGAGTTAAGTCGAGAAATTATTGAAGGCGCGGTGTTGTCCTTTATCAATCTTCTGAAACTCGCTATGTCTCTGATAGGTGTGAAGGAGCATCGCCGGTGCTAAAATATGTTCTTTCCCTTCATGAAGCATTGTGTCACATTGTCCTGCGACATGAAAGTGACGCGGAGTTCCGAGGAAGAGCAATCGCGTTAGGGGCTTCATATGACCCTCATACACTACGACATGTCCATGCCCAGAGATTCATCATGTTCTTGTATTTGCCGTCTGCGCTGAGGCATTTTTTTCTCGTGCACGAGGATTCCACGAAATTTCGCTTTGCGGTCCTCAAAAACTGAACCATACGAAAGCCTCCTGATCCGTTCCGCTGCACTGGTCTGAATTTTCCCGAAACGCCGTTCCCCCATCCCTCAGCATCATTGCTTCCTCTGAGGCTCATATCATTCTCAACTCCCTCCCACTTCGTCTCTCCATCCATTTCCATGTTCCGTTTACTACAGAGATGACTACCGATTTCATGACGTGCGATCGCCGATTTCGCACCCTATTTAAACGTGTGTTTCTTCACGAGGGTCCAACTTTCACCTTAATTTCAGATCATCAGTGTCTTCCTGAAGATAATCATTTTCCAACATCTCTTTTCCTGTTTTCATTAAAAAAAATATCAGGTGAGGAGGGTCAATAAACGTCCACCTTTTCAAGAAAAAAATCAAATTCAATTGTTTAATAAGTCAACTAAAATAACTAAAATAATTAGTTCGTTAGTTGAAGCAAACGAGTGTCCTCCATTCGTCCAACCGACCGCTTCACTCATCTGAGTATTTTCATTCTGATCCCTTCAAGTTTTAATTCATGTATTTGTCCTGCCTCACGAAAGAATCCGCTTGTTCTGAGCCTGGCAATAAATCCCTTGTGTACGACGATGTCTCTCTTTCCATTGGATTTGTCCATGCCTCGTCCATGGCGGGGAAAAGGATGTAGGAGGAGATTCAGGGAGTTCCACCGTTTCCGATTGTTCACAACTTTCAGAAATCCACAGAAAGAAGTTTGGGAATATTCCAGTCTGTAAAATTATATTGACTCGACGTTGAGATGTTATGGAAGATGTTGATGGGTTGTTGATGTTGACGACCATTCCGATTGTTCACAACTTTCAGAAATCCACAGAAAGAAGTTTGGGAATATTCCTGTCTGTAAAATTATATTGACTCGACGTTGAGATGTTATGGAAGATGTTGATGGGTTGTTGATGTTGACGACCCAGTGCACAGTCAATTTTGACTTGATGTTGAAAGTATGAACATTGCAAGGACAACGTCCGATCATCGAAACGTCCAAATTTGTTTTATCGGTGAGACACTTGGTGAGACGTTTGAACGAAGAATGTTTCTTGACCCCGAAGTGAGATGGTGAAATATGGATAAAACAGGGGAGTTAATTCATGTGCAACCGGCACGCGTCTCCATGACTTTTGATATGGCACTTGTTATTTTTTACTCAGGCGAGTAAAAAGTTCTGGATTACTTTGAAGGTCAGGCATCTTCTTTAACGTGAATTGCTCGACGATGATCCTAGGTTGGTGATAATTTTAACTCATGAGTGTTCCTCTCGTACGCAGGTATCGATAGAAGTGGATCGTTACCCGAGGATTTGGACGACTGGGGAGCGGAAGGATCCAGGGAACGCGTGAGAGTATGTTTTTATTATTAAGGTTTTGCAAGGTACGAGCGTTACTTCGTTCGTTTCGTTATCGGGGAAACCACTCTTTGTTTTCACCAACCAAAACTCAATCTCATGATCGACAAACTTTCGGCAACAATACGGCTCTTTCGCCTCGAGGAATCTTAGGGTCTGTTCGAAAAATGTTTACGCGTGGTCAGAAGAAAAAGAGTGGAGCTCTCTGAAGGATCAAACGGTATGTGTGTGTTGGATTCTGTCAGCCCGGCAGGAATTCAGGATTAAACGAGTGCACAAAGAAGCGTACGAAGAAGCACAAGGAAAAAAAAGCACAAAAAACATTGAACCTACTTGTTGAACCCAGGGAGACAAGCGGGGGACACGGCACGAGATGGAGGACCTGTGTCTGTTGGTAAGTCCCTGAACCGAGATGCCTCGGCAAGCCTCAACGATTTCTCCAGTCGTCGAAGGACTTACTTTCGATCGTATCGGTTCATCAGCAGGAGGAAATTCCTCTCTCTCTCACTTTCTCAATTTCCGTTTGTTCCGTGAATTTTCTCGAACGAAAGGGCTTTTAGATGACAACCGCCTTGTTGGCCCTCATCGAGACAGCTCACCAATAAAATTTCCTCCTGGTTATAGGTGCAACGAATACCTTTTAATTTTTTTTCGGCTTATTTCGATCGGGTCATCGGTTGGCTCGGGTTCTGTCAGAAATGAGAAAGTTCGAGTTCTGCTGAAGTTCGCTGAAGATAAGTTCGAATGAGAATAGGGTTCGGTATTTCTAACGAGTTCGAGTTCCATTAAACGAGAGCGATCACGCCGCTTCCCATTCCTGGAAATCGACGAAAATGTGGGCACGAGGTAGAATGGATATAAGCTTGTTGATGATATCGGGGTGGATGAGAGACGAATCAAAATTCTTTCTCAATTTTGAGTCCGCGTGCGATTCAAGTTCGTCCCGTGAAAAGTTCGTTTTCATTTCGTTTCTCAAGTTCAATATTACCTTCCTTCCGGTTTGCCTGTTTTTACTTTTGCGTTCGGCTCTTGCTTCCTGGTTGAGATTTTCGGATGGCTCGCGTTTTCTTCGCGGCCGAGAACTTTGTGTGCTGGTCTTTCTGATTTCGTTAGAAGAAAAAATGCAAATAATCGATTAGAAAGTATTTCCTTCTTTCTTTTATCTTACGACCTACAGGGTGACATATGTCCGCAGATTCAATAGTAAGAGGCAGGAGCGTTGACCTGTTTTCGATGCCCAATCTACAGGGCGTCTCATAAGTCTGGAACCATTGGTGCACAATACAAATACGTATATTATGGCACTATTCGACTCATCAAGTACTCAAAGCAGCATTTTGATTTCCCAGGTACACTGGGACAGGATCACCAACCGCTCATCCTTACATTGTGCCACTCGTTCAACTTAGTATCATATGAAATGCAAAGAAATGCACTGCCTTTGGTACCGTACTTATGATTCACTTAAGAAAATACATAATGAACTTTTGAGCCTACGCAGCATGCTTTTATCAATATTTCAACAACATCAACGATTGGTTTGAATACCAAAAGTGAAAAAAGTTGATTCAGAAATTTCTTCCCTAAGCGGATGCATCCAGACTTTTACCGGACTGATTTATTATTTACTGCACAGCATCGTTCATATCTTTTGCTCCCATGGCAGTCTCAAATGCATATTTTGTGCATTCAAGGATGAAAGTCGTGGATGTCATTTTAATTTTTTTAAATACATATTTTCATAAATTTACGGTCAGAGGTCAAACTTTTCAGTTTCCATTAAAACTTACCAATTTAAGACACGACGTACCAGATATGCTACATTCCAAATTTTAAAAATTTCGAATGCGCTATATCTAACCTTTTTTGTGTCGATTTTATATCACCATTCCATGTTTCATCTGCAGCGTGATAGATTTCTAGAATTTCATTCAGAAGTAGTCGAGCGACAGAAATTTTTGAGCGACCCTCGCATATGTATTAAGAGAATTCCAACGTGGGCCGAACGTTGGCCCAACGTGGGCATGCTACATGGGACGTTTCACCCCGTTCCGAATTCCAACTCTCGACTCCAGACCGATAAAACACAATGACGAAGCCCATGGCAACAATGCGACTGAAGGGATCGGTTGCCAAGAGACTGGTGACTTTGGAAAATCCCTGGCACGACAGCGTCTCGTGAGGACATTTCATACTCGTTTGGAAAGCAGGAAGGACCATCGACGCTATGAATCGGGCTCGACGCATGAGGACTTGGATGAGCCGCAAGGCAGCGAGGCTCTTCGGCTGCTGCCGAGGGCAGACAGAAGAAGAATCCGACACCGACGACGACTCTTCGTCCCTTTCTTCTTTCTCGTCCGAATCCGAGATTTTGCCCGGACTCCAAGATTCCCGTGAGTGAAAAGGAAATAAACATCTCTGTATGCCTTGGCGACTTCGGCCGATCGGGTGACTCAGAGAAACAAAACAGAAGCCAAATGGCATCGGAGGATTTTTTCGCACTTGCAACCGGAGAACCGATCCATCTCATCTTTTAATGGAAAGCACCATTCTTTCCATTTGAGGAGCCATGTACAGATGTGCTGCGATACCGGAAAGAAAAACTAATTTCTAAGGAAGCAATGTTTTCACTTTTCTAGCACGAAGCTAATTAATTTCAGTACGTCATTTTATTTACAACTCATCTTTTAGATGGACTTCATCTCCATTTCCGACATCCAGACGTTAACAAAAGTTTAATTAACCAAAGGGCACCCTTTCTTTTTTAGGCGAGCTGTCGTCCGACAGTTCCACGACCTCCACGACCTCCTCGAGCGGAGAGATGGATCCATATGCCTCGTCGTTCGACAGCCCGACCCCTGACGAATCCGAATCTCGTGAGTCGTCTCTCGATAATTTACTGGATTTTAAATCTTGTTTTCTCGTTCTGTTGACATTTTCGAGAAAAATAAATGCTTCGGCGTTTCACTGGGGTGGGGTGCATTGGTCCCTAAGCAAATTATCCACTTTACTCTCTTGCTTGTGAGAAGTCGTCTCAGAACTTGGATCATCCGACACGGCGTCCATTTAAAGGATATTTGGGATCGCGATGACTCGTCGGCGACTTCGAAGCGAAACGGTCTCCGTATCGTTTCTTTCTTTTAACAGTGAAAATCGGAGACGATCTGACGCTCTGTCTCCTTCGCGTGTGTGTTAAACATTAAACTCGGATTCTAACATCCGTTCGACGCCATCGAACAGCATTTCAGCTCCTCTCTCTGACGGAAATAAAAGATTTTGATGATGAAAAATTGCAGAGTCGTGCTCGCCCGTGGTGCAAACCCCCTGTATCCATTTGGACGGACGTCTCTCTGTTCCCATGGCAGACTGGAGTCGATTGCTTGGTCCGAGTGAGTCCTACCGATTTATCATATTTTTTATTATACTGCCCTTGTTTTTTTTTTTTAATCCGACGAACTGTAGTGCGTTTTAATCATGAGCTTTGCATGGATGAGAAAAATGTGTGTGGGGGGGATTGACAGGCGAATGGCTCCCTGGGAAATGACCCTCTGAATGCAATGTCTTTTTTTTCTTGCTTTTGTTTCATTTTATTTTATTTTTTAAATACATTTTTTTAAAGAAAACTTCAAAGGTTATTCTAGTTGTTCCTTGGAAGATAGGATCGGAAAGTCGTGGATCGTTGTCGCATGGAAGAAGTAAAACTGGGTACCTATTTACGGGACACCCCGTATATGTGTGTGTTTCGTTCCAGTGACGTGCGTCGGGGATCTGCATTTCGTGTGGCGTTACCACCCCGACGGCCGGAAATACGTTCGATATACGATCCTCTTCCGAGACCTCAACGCTCGACTGACTTGCATCACGATGATCGGTTCACCCGTCGAGAACGTCGTCGTCTTCGGGGCCAAGTTCAAGCTGATATCCACGAACAGGTCCTTCACCACGATGACCTACGCCTGCCACCGCGTCTTCCATCCGGCGCGTCTCTGCCCGTCGCCCCCAGATGGCATCTGAAACGGGGTGCTCCGCGGGTGCCCTGGGTGTTACCTTCGGCACCGCGTTCGCTCGGTCTGACACCTCATTTCTCCTCGATTCTGCTTCGGATCTGAAAAAAGTACCCGTCAGAGGAAAATTTGGAATTACTATACAAAAATAGGATTCCATATTATCCATTTAATCGACCCACACCAATAATGATAAGATCTCCTAAGGTATGAGTAACGTTTTATCATAATTACGAGGTAATTATGCCTTTTTACTCTCCATGAAAATGTAATCCCCTCGTTTCCAGGAAGTCTTTAAAAAGGTTTTAATGCATCAGCCAATACCTTTTTAAAATGAATATTTGAGGATAACCCAATGAACCATGCACTGCACCTTTAAATCGCATCTTCGCACGAGCATCGCGCAGCTGCTGGATGCACCGATCGAATCGAATCGAATCGAGTCGAGTCGATTTGATGGAGTGGGCTGGGCTCGACCGGCTCGAATCGGTCGTCTCGAGTCGATCCTGTTTTTTCTGACGAGTCGTATCGTGCGGAAATTTCAAAACTAGGAAATGGTCGGTTCTTTATAGTTAAATAGGAAAATTAAATAGAAATTAATTACCGCTGCAAGCAAGTTCCTCTGATGCTCATTTCCCTTTGGCTTGCGAAGTGTGCTAAAAGAATACCGTGTTCGTATTCGATCTCTTGCGATGAAAATATTCTTGTTCTAGATTTCCCGCTGCCTTCGTGTTCGAAACGGATTCATGTTACATGGCATCATGGTTTTCATTCAAGGTCCTCAAGAAGTTCGGGTTCGTGGCGAGGAGAAATTGGAAATTCGAGGCATTACGAGCAAATTTCAAAGTGTAATGTGCAGTCGGGTCGGGTCGGTTGGGCAAATGGGGGAAATCAGTGGAGCATAATTTCTATATTAATAATGACTAAATTTCCCAGTTTACAGCTCGACATCGTAACGAGACAAGTTCCCGTGAACGATATCCTCACCTGACGTCTTGATTTCATTTATTTCTTCTTAAATTTTCTGTATTTTCTCCGTGCAGGAAAGAGGAATGTTGGAAAATGGTTCGACTCAATAAGTAAAATTAAACTCTTGAATGACGTGAAATGACGTCATTGAAACACCTCGGGGCGCTGATCCCCATAGAGTCGACGGAAAGGATGGCAATCCCGTCTCTCCGACTAAAAGCCTGTGCTACTCACGACGAAGGCCAATGTTACTCACGACGGAGGCCAGTGCTACTCACGACGATGATCCGTGGTGAAAACATACGATGTAACTCTCATCATCAGGAATCTACCGTACTTTAGTAACATGGAGCTCATACCATCCAAGAATCTCAATCGGATTCATTCCAAAATGAACATAATATTTGAGATAGAAGAAATTGCAGAAATGTCCGTTAGAAAAACATGAAGGAGAAAGAAATGATTCCTAAAAAGAGCCAAAGATAGCATGGAAATTCCCCATTCGTTCACCATGCGCATTCCGCCAAATGCGTTTCGGCATTTCGTGTAAGAAACAGATTCGAAAGATGGATCTTGCGTAATCAGTTATTCGCAAAAAAACGTGAAAACGTTCTCTTATCTTCCCCTTTTACCCCATGTTCACCGCCGTGGGCGGGATGGGGAGGATTCGGATAGATGACATAAGTGATTTTTCCCTCGTCGGGAAAGGGATCGGTGCCGAAGGTCGAACTGTTCTTTCGTAATAACCGAACACATCGATTTGTAATCGATTCTTGCGACCCTATTTCACACCCAAAATAGAGAATTTTGTGGCGTGGTCACTGTTTGGCGAAGGAAATACATTTTTCCAACTCGTGGAAGTGGGGAGATCGTGGAGGGATCTTCCTTTGCAAATAGGAAGAATTTAGTTTTACGAGCGAACAATTGGCCCTCGTGAAACTAAATTCTTCCTATTTGCAAAGGATGATCCCTCCACGATCTCCCCACTTCCACGAGTTGGAAAAATGTATTTCCTTCGCCAAACAGTGACTGCGCCTACGATGAAACTCTTGTGTTTCAACATCCGAAGCGGTGAATTCCACCGGCTCCACTTCTCCTCCCTCTTGCTTACATGGTCCCATCCCTTATGTACCTGTTTCCTCTGGATGCCTCCTTCCTCCCCGGCATATCATTCCCCTCCCAGCTTTACGCTCTTCACGCCCCACCCTCAATCCCTTCACTGATCCTTCCTAGCACGACTGATGCCTGCAGATCGACATGGCTCTGAGGAATCGACCTTCTGCACCGATCCCTTTCCCGACGAGGGAAAAATCACATATCTCTCCGAATCCTCCCCATCCCGCCCACGGCGGGAAAGAGAAAGGGAGAAGTTTCGCTTTGTGGTCATCAAAAACGGGACTATATGAAAGCCTCCTGATCCGTTCCGCTGCACTTGGTGGAATTTTCCAGAAACACCATTCCCCCATCCATCAGTATCGCTGCTTTCTCTGAGGCTCATCTCATTCTCAACTCCCTCTCACTTCATCCCTCCTTCCATTTCGATGTTCCGTTTCGTAAAGAGATTACTTTTCATGACGTGCGATGGCCGATTTTCTGTAGGAGCTGTCCTAACAGAATGTTTCTAATTCTCTATTTTGGGTGTGAAATTGAGTCGCAAGAATCGATTACAAATCGATGAGTTCGGTTTTTACGAAAGAACAGTTCGAATTTCGACAGTTTTTTTTATTAATAGCAATTAATTGAATTAAAAACGCATGAATGAAGCTCAGGATCGTCCTACGCGCTCGAGATGGAAACAATGTGGGATATCCCATTTCACGACAGATGGCGAAACTTTACCGAACCGAATAGGATGTCGGGGAATTCTAAACTTGGAAAGTTAAGGAGATACCAGCTGGTGGATTAGTCTGGAAAATTCCTGAGGAAATGAAAAAATTGTCTCCTTTTCTTTTGTGGGGAAGAATTTGGAAGACTCGAGCGGATTCATCGTTAGGTCTCCTTGCAAAAAATGAGCTACTGAGAGCATCCATTACTGATCGCAATTTCTCCCAGAAAATTATCTAATTCATTTTTACATGACAAGCCTTCTAGCTTCAAAATTCGTAATTGCATATCCATGCTGGCACAGCGTTTACCACGCCTGGCAACGTCGTGGGTGGCTATGGACACACGAAGCAGGGGACTTGACTCTCCATTTGCTCCTTCTACAGGGTATCAGCTGCTCCGAGGTGTGCTTCTTCATGACTGTCCAATTTTTACCTCTATTTCAGATGACGTCATTATGTTTCTGAAGATAATCATTTTCCAACGTCTCATTTTCCGTTTTTCATTAAAAAAAATATCAGGTGAGGAGTGTCAATAAACGTTCATCTTTTCAAGGAAAGCATCAAATGCAATTGTTAGATTCATTGAATTAAAATAATTAGTTCATTAGTTGAAGCTAACGAGAGTCCTCCATTCGTCCAACCAACTGCTTCATTTATCTTATTATTTTCATTTGGATGCCTTCAAGTTTTAATTCATGTAGTTGTCCTTCAACACGAAAGAATCCGTTTGTCCGCTCCTGTCCAGAGTTTATCAATAAATGCCTCGTGTATGACGATGTCTCTTTTTCCATTGGATTTGTCCATGTCTTGTTCTTGGTGAAGAAAAGGCTGAAGGAGGAGTTTCTTTGAGTTCCACCGTTTCCGAATGGCCACGACAATCGGAAATCAACAGACATTCCAGTCTCCTCAATAATATTCCCCCAACGTTGAGATGTTCTTGAACACGTTGATGTTGATGATGCAATGCATAGTCAATTTTGGCTTGATGTTTAAAATATTGTACTGTTCAGGGTGTCCCAAAAGCCCCTATCTATTTTGCTGAAATAGGCTGAATTTCAAACAAATAACTCAATGACTTGAATACACATGTATTTCCATACAAAATACAAGTATTATTACAGATCGAAATAAAAATACATTGCAATAATCTTTAATCAGTAGTTTCAATGTGCGCTCCATCAGTATCTCTGCAAATCTCAAATTGGTCTGCTGCATTGCGGAATTCATTTGCGAGCATTTCGGGGTTTATTTTCTGAACGGCCTGCCTAAAGCGACCTCGTAGATCTGGTAAATCTCGAATTTTTCTGCGATAAACTTCTGATTTAATGAAACCCCAGGCAAAGAAATCCAAAGGGGGTCAAATGCCCGAGGCCCGTTTCCCCACGTCCAATCCAACGATTTGGAAAACGCCTGTTGAAGAATGTCTGAACAATTCTGGCATAATGACATGGTGCTCCATCCTGCTGAAAGACTACAGTGTCGAGAATACCATCTGCAAGAAGTTGGGGTTCTAGAAACTGTTGAAGCATATCGAGAAGAATCGAGGTAATCGAGGCTTACGAAATTTTCTTGTGAATTTGTCTCTAATCTCACATTTCATTCCTCTGATGCGACAATAACTACCATAACACGTTCCTGCACATTCATCATCAATGACATGGATCTGAAATGAATAAATAAAAAACTAAAAAGTTAAAAATAGTTCAGACAGTAATCTAATGTTTGAATATTGCATAGAAATAAACGTGTAATCATATCATTGAGTGATTTATTTAAAATTCAGCCCATTTCAACATAATAGATAGGGACTTTTAGGACACCCTGTACAGTACATTATATTTCCAGCGAGTGTTCATATTTTGCAGTTTCATTTGACCGTATTCACGCAAGCATTTGCAAGCATGCAAGCAAAGCTTCGCAGTGGCACAGGAACAAACACTACTGATACCAGTGGCGTAGCGAGGGGTGGGCTGGGGGGAGCTTCAGCCCCCCCAAGTTTGGTTCAAGCCCCCCAACTCTGGTCGAAATGCGTCCGCCCCACCCCGACGAGGCGAAGTTAGCCCCCCAACGTTCCGCTATGCCCCCCATTAGCCCCCCCAACTTTCCGCTTGTTGACGAAAACCTGGCTACGCCACTGACTGATATGTCTTGAGGGCGATCCTCACTCCCATTCATTTCATTTTACTCTCCTTTATTACCAGAAAGGATGTTTGTT